TGATGTTTTTTGACTTTGCATCTCTCCTGCGCTGCCTCTTTACCCGTTACAGATCTTACTGACCTCCAACAGCAAACATCATACTCCATCACTTGAGTCCAGTAGCAACCAAGACAGCACTGAACAACATAAATGACAAGATCTTGACATCTCTAAAGCATTCAGAAGCTATTCTAGAAATTCAAATGGATAGTATACATCCGCCAATGTTCTTAGTAGTGCAGTTTTTAATTTTTGCGCAGAGGAAAATTAATATTCAAGATCTCCAAAAACGATAGACAGTGTTGGATTGATTTACCACAATCATCATCTGATCATGATAAAAATAATGAATTGATCATGGTATAACTTTGAAAAGTCATCAATATCAGTATTTGTGCGTTTATAAAGATACAAAATAGTCCATTCATACGTACTGTAGATTTAATGAATACTTATAACTGGCTTATTTGTTAGTTCAGTCAACGATTAGAATAAGTGTAATGTTAAATTAAGAAAAAAAAGAAGATGAGCTAAACAATAACAAGCGAACAGGAACAGTGTAAAGGAAAATACAGAGCCGACAAAAAAGAAGATATCTGTTCTCTGTTCGACAGGCGAAACGAAATACGACGGATTGTCTTTTTGCTGATTGATTATTTAAGAAAACAACTAGCATGTGAGAGAAATTTTTCACTATGCGTGTTCTGTATCGGTACAGTTATGCTACGCACGCATATGAACACCACACATTTCAGAGTCACAGGGGATGCACTAACCAGCTTTCCATTTTTACTCAGATCTATTTTTATTCTACAATTTAATCGTTAGTGCAACTAAATGTTTAAAATAAATCTCAGCAAAATGATTCTATGCATTGAGTTGAACTTACTAGTATATTGTTAAATTAATTAAAGTGCAGCTAAAAAACAATAGAACCATGTCATTATTAACTAATATTCGTTTTAAATTACAGTAAAACCTCTCTATAGTGGACATCCTTTGGACTTTTCAAAAGTGTTCACAATAGAGAGATTACGTCTTTTCTAGAAGTCAATTTCTTTTAGAACAAGAAGGTACGTGTTTCTAGATATCTGCAGAACGTCAATGTATCAAATAACTAGGTTGAGCACGTTAGTAATTCGCTCTTCGAGTGCTTTTATTATTGAAAATAACGTCAGAATTCAGGCAAAATTATAAAAATAATTTTTATCTGAGTTCTATTTTAAAAAATATCCGCTAATTTTCATTCGAGATTGAAGACTCGAATATGCAGTTTAGGCTGTTGAGTGCACACAAAAAGCGCTATTGTCTAAAAGATACCAATAATTAAGCTAATGAACATAGAGAGAGTCTCATTTTGGAACGGGAAAATTTACATTGATCTCATTCATATCGCGTTTTCCAAAATAGATCACATTTTGTTTCATTAGTAATCAACGATCATGATCCGAATAAATGTGAGAGTGAGGATGAGCTTTACCTTCATCCTTACCATCAGATTTGTTTGTTTACCTTTTATGTTTTTGGGCAATTGAATGTGATCATAGTGTTGTGCAAAGTATGTCTTCCTCCTCTTCATTTCTCTTCTCTTTTTATAAGTTCGATAGAACTCATGGTCCCATTTCCCAATAGCTAGTTGATCAAAACGCAGTCTGTTTTTTGAAAACGCAACGCGAGTGAGGTCAATATGACTTTTCTCGCTTCAAAATGAGACAGTTTCTAGATCGATTGGCTTGTTTGTTTTGTCTCATTGAGGAAGCCACGCACAAAAATATGAAGCTTTCTCATCATTGCCAATGATTGAGACAAGATTGGCAGGCTTTTCGCCAGAGATATGATCAACATTTTTATATCAGTTTCAACCAGTCATTCAACTATAAATTAGCATCTTACCAGTTGAAAACAGGAATGTAAGAATCGATGTCAAGTAACTCAGCAGCGTTGATTGCTAACCAACGTTTCACAACATTCTGTCCAAACTCTGAATAATGGTGTCTACTGTACGGAGGTGTCCACTATATAGAGGTGTCCATTATAGAGATGTGTCCGCTATGGGAAATTTTACTGTATCTAAATACAACAATTTATTACTAAATTCAACTGACTACATAAATAATTCCATGGAAAAAAGCTTCTCAACTACACCCACAACCCTGGTTCTGTTCCCACATCTACACTCATATCCTCACTCTGATATTCACAGTCACACCCAGACCGACGCACGCACATCCACACTCCTGCCGTTCCGATAAAATTTTGATTTTGAAATATGATTCAGACAGAGAGACCTGACATCTATAGTTCAAGACACAATGGAAATGGTTATCTTCTCGCATTCTAACACTAAACAAATGAAATCATGTATTGGCTTACTCATATACTAGGAAATTGCATTGATATTGAGCTAAATATTCTTACTTTTTTTTCAAACTTTCATCGGAACGTCAGACCATTTTCATGCATTTTGCTCGAATGTTTTCCGGAGATGATTACTTTTAAAAGGATTTTGTCTTATACATTATTGGAGAAAAAGACGCCTCCATGTCTTCTCTTTCGATTGCTGAAAATCGGAGATTGCTAGCTGTTTGCATTCTCGACTTACTCAATTTTTTGACCGAGTATTATTAAGTCCTGAACAGACTTTGTGAGGTAATAAACATCATCACTAATATTTATTCATTCGTTCTTCATCCCACATGGTGGTGAAATTTTTGTTATTACACAATCTTTTCCCATATGCATGCAGTGTATTTTTCTTTTGGTTTTTTATTCGTCTTTTCTTCAAACGCGATGGCTTGCTTAGTACACAATACACGGTATCGCTCTTTATTTCATACTGTTGTTAATGAACTTCGAAATGAAAATCGTACACCGGCATGTAAATTACGAAATATGCCTCGCCAATGTTGTACATGTGATAACCCTGATAATCAAACATTAATAAGTGTTCTTATTGATGACAAAGATAAATTGATGAATTTAAAAAACCTTACTGATCAAATAGATCGAGATAAAAACAACAATTCCAAACTTGTTTTATCATTAAATCGGTTAGAAAATTTTATTAAAGAAAATCGAATGTCACATCTAAATTTATTATCAACATCAACAGTTGATGATGATATGAATAAAAGTGATGATGATTCAACTGTATTTGAAGAAAATCAACGAATGAATACTGGAAAATCCAAATCCAGAAAAGAAACTAAATCACGAAGACCACTTAAAAATGGAACATTCCTATTTTTACCATATAAATTTGTAGATAAACCGAAGCTCGAATCATTACTCGAAGCTGCAAAAACATTACAACGTGGTCGATTTATAGGTAGAAATGGTTATATTTCATCATTAGGAAAACAACGTAAAGTTTGTATTATTATGGTAACACCCGAAACAAGTGAACAAGTTAAAAGAACACTTCAAAATGCAAAAGCCGGAATAGGCAAGGTAAAAATTCATAATCAAAAAAATCTCCTAGACATAGAAGACGGTGAATGGATATTAGTTCGACAAAAACAAATGAAATATCAAGCCGATCCAATTGATTTTGACGCATTATTAGATAAATTAAAAAAACGATGGGAAAGGTTTTTGAAGATACAAAAGCGTAAAACTGTTGATAAAGAATATCATGAAGATGAAGAATATCCAAATAAAAAGTGAATTTGCGATTTTTCTTTTGTAATTATATTGGATATTTTCGATTCATTATTAATCAATAAAAATATCTAAATCTTCAATATGAAAGTTTCCATCACAAAAGACTTATTGACTTGTGCGATTATTTATTTTTATGAGTGAGCCTATTTGAATTGAACTCATAATTTAAGGTCAGGATAGAAGTTACATATTGACTGAAACAATTCGTTAAATGTTGTTTAAAACAAATTTTACAATCGAAACTGAAAGAAACTTTCTTTCAGCAAGAATAATTCACTTTCTGCTTCCTCTATTAAGACTCTTTAGTCGTATTTGATCTGAAATAGACCACTCAGAGAAATTATTTCGATCGTTGAAAACGGCATATTATTGCATTGATTTTCACCTTATTTCGCTGTAATACATAAGTCAGTTCAACGGGCGAGTTTTTCCCTAGCTCACTATCATCATCTATCTTATTATTATCTCCGTTTTGCCAGTTTATGAAAAATAACGACGTAATGACACTGTTTTTCTTGGATCTCGATGAGTTTCTGTCTTAATTTAAAGACCTATCTACCACAAAACCAATGGTTAGAATTAGAAGAACAAATAGCATACACTATGAGACTTTCGTAAGTACAATATTTTATTTATGATACTATTCGACAAGAACTTATATTAAAAGATCACTTTTTATAGTTTAACAACTATTTAATTTTTTGTTTTAAATATAGTGCAAGCAGAAGTTTTCATTTAATAGGTCGATATCAATGTGAAACATTAGTTGCATCATTATAAGGATATGAATCTTATTTTCTATTTAAAATGTAAATGAAATCAGATGATAGAATATTTGATATTAGTTGTAAAATAAGAGGGTGATTAAGATAAATTAGTTATATTCTGAATGTTTGTATTTCTTTCAATATCGAATTCAACGAGTTAAAAAGTATCGAAATAGAAATAAAAAAATTTGAGGGTGTGGGTATGGATGTGTGTTCGCCGACGGAAAAAGGAATACCTAGATCCACAACCTATCCCGAACTTCATATTCACATTTACACCGAAACCCTAAGAATACCTATCTGAGTGTACATAGTCACTTCCTTATTTAAATGTGTTGATGCGACATTTACTCATGATGTTGTTTTTTTCAATGATGAATTTTCCATTATTTTCTTATTTTGATAGTAAAGTTAGTTGAAAGGAAATTTTGTTTTGTTTCGTTTTTTTTTTTTTGGTTTTCAATTATAGGGGAGAACATCGGGTAATAATTAAGTACCATTTAATTATTTATTTGCACCGGGTATCATTGCTGGTGCTATTAGTGCTTTTGTAGCACCATCACTCGATGACAAGACATATCTTTTATAAAAGTTTTTATTTATGAAAATCTTACATATGCATTGAAATGAGAGCTGATATTAGAAAGTATATGCGATTAAGCTTTGTGTTTTGGATTTGGATTGTACATGCACTTATGCCATTCTATTGGATTTATTGATCGAATGAAATCATGTCCAGTTCAGATATAAAATGAAATAAATTTTGAGAATGCTGACAGAGATACAAAGTGATGAGAAAAATATGAATAACAACGTCTTTTGGCTTTTTTTTCTATAATGTTAAGCAATTAGCTCAAATCTAGATAGTGATTTTAACCCTTTACCCCCACAACGGTTCCAGAGAAGACACTAATAAAACAATTAGTGAAGTGGGGTACTGTTATCTTTAGTAGTTCAATAGTATCATCAGATTGGCCAGGATCCTTTACATGTACGCACGGTGATTTGGCAACTCCAGTTGCCATTAGGGGGTAAGGACATGAAAACCACTTTTTCTTTTTGAAAATAGTTTATTGGTTTCGCAAAAAATATCATATATTGTTGTATTCTAACAATACAAACAATAAAAGACTAAAACAAAAAATAT